TCATCATGTCATATAGTCCCTCTCCATATCTCGCTTTCATTCTCAATCTCATCTACTCTATCTCTCTTATCTCTATCCTCTCCATCTCTTCTCATCATTATATATATATCTCTCTAATATCTCTCATTTGTCTCTCCTATTCACTCTCAACTTCTCCTATCTCCTCATCTACCCTCACCACCTACGCATCTCTCTCATGGTCTCCTCTTCTCTTAATCTTTATATCCTATATCCCATCCATCCCTTATCTACTCTCCTTCTCATCCGTCTCTCGTGTTCGTCGTGCTCTTCTCGTCTTTCGCCTCCCCCCGTCAGTGTCCTTCTGTCTTCTCTCTCTCTCGATGTCTTCATCTCGTGTTCGGCTCTCTTGTGATCTCTCCGTCTCTCTCTCTCGCACTCTTCTGTCGTGTGTGCTCTCTTTTGCTCTGTCTCGTCTCTTGCACTGCATAAATGTCTCCTTCGGTAGTGTCGTGTTCTGTCTCTTCTCTGCTCTTGCTCGTGCTCTGCTCTTCTTCTTCGTCGGTTTTCTCTAGTGTGTTTGTGTGTGTGTACTCTTCTCACATTCCTCTCCCACATATTCTACGATCTTTTTTTCTCCTTTATTTTTCCCTTTATTTCTTTCTTTATTTCAATCCCTACTCTTCAATCACTATATCGCTCTTCATCTCTCTTTTCATTTTCTCTCTGCTCTCGGTCTCTCTCCTGTTCCTCGCTCTCTCGTCTCTGTCGCTCTGTGTTGCTTAGTCCTCTCATCTATTCACTATATCCTCCCTCATCTTGTCATTTATCACCTTTTCATCTCTTCCTCTCTCTCATCTCTCATTCTATCCCATTTTTCTCCCATCTCTTATCTATCTGACCTCCTCACTGTCTCTCTATATATCTTTATTATTTATGGGGGGATAATGGAGAGTGATGGTGACAGGATCATAACATCATACATACATTCATACAACACTTACATATATAGGATACAACACGTGGAGAGAGGAGAAGAAGATGGAGGAAGAGAGGGAGAGAGTAGGGTAGAAAAAGGGGGAGGGGGGGGGGGGGAGAGGGGGGGGAATCTCTGTCCTCTTTCTCGTCTCTCTCTTTCCCTTTCCATCTCTTCAAAATCTCCTCTTCCCTCTGTCTGTCTCTGTCTCTCTCTCTCTCTCCTTTCCCTTTTCCAATCTCTCTCTCTGTCTCTCTCGTCTCTCTTCTTTTTTTTTATTCCTTTCCCCTTTTCCCTTTTCAAAAACATTTCATCTCTCTCAATCTCTCACACTCTCTCCGTCCCATCTCTCTCTCTCTCCCTCTCCCCTCTTCTCTCCTTCATCTCTCTTCTCTCCCCTCCTCCAGCTCTCGTCCCTCTCTCGTCTCCTCCTCCCCCCTCTCCCTCCTCCTCTATCCAATCTCTCTCCTCTCTTCTCTTCATACTATCGTCTCTCTCTCCCGCTCTCTCCTCTCCTCCCTCATCCCTCCTCTCGCTTTTTCAATCTCCCTCTTCTCCGTTTTCATCTCTCCTCTCATCAATCTCTTCACTCTCTCTCTCACTCCTCTCATTCTCTCTCTTTCCCTTTCCATCTCTCGTCCTGTACTCTCTCTTTTTTTCTTTATTCCCTTTTTCCACTCTCTCTCCCTCTGGTCTCTCTCTCTCTTCTCTCTCTCTCTCTCTCTCTCTCTCTCTCTCTCTCTCTCTCTCTCTCTCTCTCTCTCTCTCTTTCCCTTTCCATCTCTCTCTCTCTCTCTTTCCCTTTCCATCTCTCTCTCTGTCTCTCTCTCTCTCTCTTTCCCTTTCCATCTCTCTCTCTCTCTCTCTCTCTCTCTCTCTCTCTCTCTCTCTCTCTCTCTCTCTCTCTCTCTCTCTCTCTCTCTCTCTCTCTCTCTCTCTCTCTCTCTCTCTTTCCCTTCCCATCTCTCTCTCTCTTTCACTCTCTCCTGAAAATACATTGCCCCCGAGTAGGTCACCCACCCGCAGGGAGTGGCCGGGTGCTTGGTATTTCAACCTCCTTGTTTTGCTCCCAATTACTGGTAACTAAGGGCTCTTATTTATTCAAAATGTGAATGATTAACTTTTTTCTAAAAATCGAAATGCAGATGAAGCAATATCGTCGTTTTTTTGTTTGTTTGTTTGCTTATTCATCAGCTTATTGTTCGTTTGTTTGTCTCTTTTCGTATTTTCTTCGTGCTCGTCTTCAACGTTGAAATTACGTGATGACGGAGAAGCTTAGTCATTTACAGAGCAAAGGGTACTGTTGTGATGGCTTGTTTTAGCTTGTGTTCTCTCGGTACATTGTTCTTTATGTTGTTATTAGAGTGGCAACGTACCCCATCTGTTGTTATTGGGAATGTTGTGTTGTTTGTTTTTATTGTTTTGATTAGTAGAATTGATGTGTTTGTTAGAGAAATTGTCGTGGTTTTCCCATATCATTAGCTTTAAGATTATGACTATTATGTTTTTTATTGTATCATTATGGTTGTCATTGTTGTTGGTATAGCGGACAATTATCACTATAAATTTCATTACTGATCCGCATTATCACCATGATTGACATAATTTATCTTTCTAAATTGCTAGTGTCATCATTCTCATTATTTTGAGGTTTCGATTATGTCCTCAATGGCAGTCTGTCGGATAGTCTTCCAACTTACTCCAGCAATTTACAATTTTATTTGAGCTAAACTAAAATTTCAAGAAAGGCCTATTATTTAGATCCAGGTCCATCTTGTACGTGTTACTCTTTTTTGTGAACCTTTCTTGGGGGCCATTTGAATTCGGTAAAACTTCATTATTCATCCGTTAATTACATGTAATGGTAATCTCTCAAAACCTCACAGGATTTTAGTATTCAGGATTCTGTTGTTTTCGCAACCGCCATAACAGATAGTGCATGATTCCGTTATATAATGGATGTAATTTGACCCTAAAGTACAAATGCGCGAAAGACACAATGCGAAACAAACATTAGATTTTAAGTTAGAATGATTTTAGAGAGTTAATGGTTTCCTAGACTGTTATATTATTGTTGTAATCTGAGCCTAAAGAACTGATGTGAGAGGCACGTGTGAGCTGACACTGGGTTCGTTGTAGGCTCGTGACCCTGACACAGTTTGTTATGAACTAGTAAAAGATAGAACAGCGTAGGCCTGGTGAAAAACAAACACGTTCTCATTCTTCCGTATTTTATTTCACAATTCTTTATCTTCAATTTTCTTCTTCCAGGATGAAATGTGTAGCAGCCACAGAGATGAGGGAAAGCCAGCGACGCTCTGAGTAAAAGCAGACTTCTTATCAGACGCTATAACTAAAATAGAAAAAGGAAGTAATGCACGAGTTTATATATATTTCGGTTAGTTATTCGTCTGATGAGGAGCTCGTGAAGAGTTGGAAACGTTAAGATTTATTTTCATTTATTTTCTTATTGTGCTGTTTTTTTTTTTTTTTGTGGATACGTTACTGTTCTTGTGTTTGTGTTCATTTACACGCACGCGCACGCGCACGCACGCACGCACGCACGCACGCACCACACACACCACACACACATACACACCCCTACCTCGTCTGTTTCTCTCTTTTGGCGCAAGAATTCCGCCTAAATCGAATCTTTCCCACCCCGGCTGTCTTCCTGTTTTCCTTCCCGGCACCTGTTCAACCGCTTTACCTTGCATTTTAGTCCCTTAATTTTGCTTCCGCGCGACCTTTCCGAAGGTTCTGTTTCGCTTCCGCCGTTATGGCCGTGGACCGACCTTGACATATTGCAGACACATTAAATAGTAATCTGCTTTCGTAAGGTACATCTCGACACGTGAAGCTCCTATCTCTTAGAGCTTTATTTACAAAACACGTAAGCTATTGTTGTTGTTTTTTTCCTCCTGGGATAATTATTCTTATCTAAGCAATGAAATCACACGCAGTATTTACCAACTGATTAATGTCCGTGAAATCTATAGTTGGTGATGACGGAGATGTGTGTCAGTGGGCGAGTGTGACGTAAGTACCTCCGTGACGTCATAACGAGATTACCATACGCGGGAGTTACACGAACACAACCCATTTCCGGCAGCGGTAACATTGTCTAAGCGTGTACTGTAAAGCGAGCCTCGTGTTAGGCTTTTGTTGCTTATTACTCAGAATAATTTAACCGCACATTCGCTTACGCAATTTAAATCAAACGGAGACGCAGATGTCCTTTTGAGTCACTGATAGCGGCCGAACGGAGAGAATATGTGCGTCACGAGATCTTAAAGGTCACGTGACGCCTAGCAAAGATACGTATTGTGAATAAAAAACCGCGGGGAAGATTAATTTCAGTATCATTGTAGTCTCAGTAAAAATTTCTTTTCTCGTTTGATTTTCATTAATCCAGGTGTTAAAAATCATGTTCAGAATCCAGTTATAAAGTCAGTTTGATAGTACAGTGCAACTGGTTTCCACGAACAACGTTGTAATTCCCGGAGTTTGATTACTGATAAGGTAATCTCTTTATACAAAACAGGGAAGCTCTTCTTTTCCATATTTGGGAATATATTACGCACTTATGCGGCATCTGCAAGTGTTCAGATATATTCGCCGACATGCAAATAACGAAGGAACTAAAATTGTGAAATGAATTGGGTATCTGCATCCATTGGTTCAATATCTAAAGCCTCTGTATCGTTTACAATATTTGCAAGTCTTGATAATTGATAAAGTGGAGGGTAGTCATGTCTCACGTTCCAAGACAAAATATATACATTTGAAATAGGTTGCTAATAGCTCGTCGTAGTTTAATGGTCTTATAATCGGGAATCCCAGTTCCACAATACGAGTCGTTATCCAAAGAAAATTGTTTGAACTTGTATTCCATTTTTTTTATACTTGATTTTATTTTATATTTGTTTTGGAGGTTTACTTTTGATGAACAGTTTATTGTTACTTTGACCAGGGCAAAAGAACAGAAATTTAAATATTGTTTTAAAAAGCCTAGTTTTGATATGATAGCTGCACGTAGAATATGTAGGACATTTAAACTCTCATGTAATACAGGAAATATATTTTATTTATTTATATATACAGACTTGGTGACAGTTCTAAAATACAGTTTTATAACATTTTATAACACAATCATGACCTTCCTATAACGGATGGTTCAGCTTACATGACACATCCATAATAAATTAACAATTAGATGCCATCTTTAGCAGGAGAGTTCCGCTACCCGCAAAAACTATCCTTTTTTCTGGAATATCTAAACTCTAATGTATCTTGACTGTGTCATAGGGGATGAAGGTGAAAGACAATTGGCTCCTCAGTCAAGAGGCAAACAAATTAGATTAAGTTCTGTATTGGAATGTTGACTTCGAATATCATTCAATGAATGGCACGTAAGTACTGATGATTAAATGTTGTTTTAAAATCAGCTGACTTTGACTGCTCTTTACCGTACATTGTTATACAGTTATTATCTTTGGCACAAGCTTGTCTATTACACAGGGAGTCCCAAGTGAGGCCCTGCTCTCACTAAGTCTTGAGTACTCACAGTCATTGTCATAAACAAGTAAACACATTAGTTTACAACTGGCAAAAATTAAATAACAACAATGGTAAAAACAATTAAACATATGCAGCTCTATGTTGGGATAATATACATTTTTTTGTATTTTTACTGTGAGTTTTAAAACTACACTAAAAGAGAAGTGCAGCAGTAATAGCTAACAAGTATCTGGCATAAAGCTTTAAAAGGTCACTGCATAAATACTGCCTACATCATAGATAAAAGCTTCATATTTTTTTTAAATATATGTTTAAATGGAACATTTGTACACAATATATATGCGACACGACCTTCTGCAAGAACTATTGGCAACTCTCTCAACTAGAACTCTCTCCTGCCGGCTGACCAGGTTTACATCACTTAGCATTGGGTTCGAGGGGCCGTGACGCCTATTAATGAGCAATATAACGTTCATGCAAGAAGTTTCGAGAATAACAGAGCTAAAGAGGCAAAGCTTCGATAATGGCAAGAGGGTATTCGACTTCTTAGTCTAGAGATAGAGAAATGAGATGAACTTTTAAAATTCGTTAATAACACAGTATTAAGAATTAGTAAATAGAAGCCTTAGCTGCCTTGAAATTAGATCTGAACAACTGAAGCCTTAGGTTAAGCTGATCCTTTGATATATTTTCGTGGATCAGGAATAAGATAACTGAAGGAGCGAATGCAACAATCTTCGGAAAGAGCTGAAGAGAGGCATCTTGAGACGATATTTTAAGTGTCTGGAAATAAAGAAAAATATTAGTGATCGTAAATACAATTATCTTTAATAAAAGCTACCAAATAATCAAGAAATACGAAAAGAAACGCACCATTTTTATACAAGATTATAATTTTTATACACACACATCAAGGGCTTAAAAAGAGGGGGTCTTACCTCTACCATTAGTAGGCTTGGGTTCAACTTAGTGGCTGAAGAACAGTGACCGAAATTTTCCCTCTTGTCTTACGAAGCAGATCAATTACAGATTCAGTTTCCCATCCTACCACGTCAATGCCATTCACCTATAGGGAAGAAATGAAATGATTAATAATCAGAAAGTTTGCCGATGTGTAGTATATAGGAAAAAATCCTATAATATTAATCTTGTCATACAAGTGGAAAGCTAAGTTACCTTTACAACAATATCCCCCATTTTCAGTCGTCCATCTTTGGCTGCAACACTGTCTGCATATATGGCCTTGATAACGGTGTTCTCCCCCTTTGGTTGCAACGAAAAGCCTAGACGACTGTTCCATCCGCGATTAAGCTCTATTGTCACCATCTAAAGCAAAAACAATTTTGTTATTATTCATTCATTACTTATCAAAAGTACATATAATTCATTCTCAATGTCAAACATTGCAATTCAAGCTGGGTTAATGGATTAATTCGAAGTTTCCTTCTTGGAACAAGGAAACGAAAAATTGAAGCAAAATAATTTCCTAAAGCTCTCGAGCAAAATTGTCTTGTAATGACAATCACCTTCGGTTTGTGTGACTGAGGTGACCCTTCACGATCCCCCTCCTGTTGAAGTGACTCCTCTAATGACTGAGTGTCTTCCTCTTCGGGGGTAAAGACAATTCCCTTCCACTTTAGCAGACCACTCTGCTGGGGACCGTCAGTATCGTGGCTGCTAATGTTATGGTCTGAGGTTGTGTTGGTTAGTCTGGAGTCTTCGTGGGGGTGGAGGGCTCCAAGGTTAACACTCTGATACCCTTGCTGGAGGTGGGAGAAGGCTGGGGTATCACTGTGAGCTGAGGTCAACTGGGGGGCAGAGTCAAGCGAGTCAGCCGACGGGTAATTACCTCCGAGCGGGGATGGAAACGACCGGTCTACCTCGTGCGGGGGCGTGAACTGTGTCTTGCGAGGACAGCCACGCCCGTTGCTCAGGTCGAGGAAGCTGGGTCTCTTCGGTCTCGACTCGGAGTTGGAGGCGGTGAGCGAGGACGACGACGCGGACGAGTTGCGTGAGCGGATGGTGGTGGAGAGGGAGTCGTCCGTCTGGCTGTCGCCGAACGGGGAGACCTCGTGGTCCGTCTCTCGTATGCTGTTGAGCGACGTTTTCTTTTCGAGAGTCGGAGTACCAGGCAGAGATTCTTCGGTTTTTCTCACCAACGAGTCCCATCCTGTGGAAACGATGGTGGAAATGATGAAAAATGTACTGATGTTCAGTTTTTATGGGTAGGTATCTTATCCCGATCAAATGTGGAAGTAAATACAGGATTGTGTGTATATGTGAAAAAATATATTACTAAATTGATACTTAGAAAGGATGATTCAAGTATCCAGTAAAACCAAGTGATTGAACGGATGGGAGATTTTATCTTCTCGTTAATTAGCGTAAGATCGCGTAATACATGTACCGCAATACTAATGTACTTACTATCTATGACTACACTCTTGATATCTGGACTCGGGGTCTTCTGAAGCCTACGTCTTCTGGGTGTGCCCGGGGAACCCGAGGCCCCAGCTAAGCTAGGCGAATTGCTGGGAGACTGTTTTCTGAAAGCCAAGTCACTGAGCATGTCCCTGGCTTCTTTACGCAGAGGCTTGGGCTTCGCGAGGATGTCAGGTTCCGTGGGGGAGACTGGCGACACTGGCGTTTGCATGGCATCCCTGGGAATATATTTTCTCTTATTAAAACTCTGTATTAGTGAATATCGAGCCTTAAAATAGTGGCATATCATTTGAGTAGTTTCAGTATATTCTCGAAACTGAAAATATACTTACCTATATAATCTAAGAGTAACAGTCTCAGGACATGTGCGTAAGAAACCTATAGCTTCTTCATGACTCAGGCTACACATATCTGTGTTGTTAACCGAGATTATCTTATCTCCGGGCCGTAATCTGCCGTCTGAAATTGCAGGCTCCTTGACCAGACTCCGAATGGTGTGTCCCAAGATACTGTTGTCTTGTTTGCGCAGTGTAAAGCCTAAGGAACCTGCAACTTTGGTTAGCTGCACCTCAAACTCCTGAAAAGGATAAAATGCCAAAAATCAATAATCCCACAGATTGACAGTGTACACCTTAAGCAACACAGGTATTCATAGTTACATGGGTATTTTCAGCTGATAAGATTGCGTACCCCGCATGAGGAGAAGGAAGGCGATGGGGAGAGGTAGTTGTGACTAGTGTTGGGCGTGGTGAGACTGGTGCTCACGACGCCGAGGGTGTTGCCGCCGTCAGGGAGGTCCTCGCCGTCCCCCATGGTGCCAGGGGGCGGCCGGCAGATCTCCAGAGTCACCTCCTGGCCGACGGTGCGGAGCATTTCTAATGCCTCCTGGGAAAGAAAGATGGGAGATGAAATATTTTGCTCGTATCTTGCAGCTTTAAAAGAATAAAAGAATTAAAGAATTATATAAATGATATATGTAATAGGTTTAGCCGTGCATGCTTTTGATAAATAATAAAGAATCCACCTTCGCGGTTAAACAAAGAAAAACAACACTAAGCGAAAGGCGTGACTGAAATCAAGACAAGAGTCTCCAGTCTCAACTGATCATCTGACTACACCACTGCAATACGACACCCCCGCCAGATGATCTCTCGGTCCCTGGACTACTTACGTGACTCGTCAGTCCTGTTAATGGATTGTCATTGGCCTGCAGGAGAATGTCCCCCACCTCCAGCTGACCGCAGAGCCAGGCCGGCGTCTGCGGGTAGAGCTTCTTGATGCGTATGAGGCCTGCGTAGGGGAGGTCGCACTCGATGCCGCCCGTCACGGCCAAGCCCAGGCCTCGGAGGTTCTTGATCACCGTCACTTGGAAAGTTGTACCTGGGGGAGGCATTCCATGGTTAGACAACTCATCATTTTCATGACATAAAATGCAACAAAGAAACAAAAATAGAGCCTTTTTCATACAATTTCCATATACATGAGTGCATTATTAATCCCAGTAGAATAGCCCGAAATGACAGGGCAAGCAACCAAATCCTGCCCACTGCCCACCCCCTCCTCACACTTAAGAGAAGAGGCACCTGACCCCCCCCCCCCCCCGACACGAGCTCCGCCTTACTTTCGGTGATGAAGGGAACCAGCCGCATGACCTCCAGGGTGTTAATGATCTCCCCCGGGGCCACCTTCAGCGAGTTGCGGTCCCTCGGTTCCCTGGGGCTCCTCTCTCGCTGGGCGACGGCGGCGGCGGAGGAGGAGGCGGGCGAGGAGGAAGAGCAGTAGAGGGGCGGCCCTTCCTCGTCCTCCGGGGACCTCTCGGAGCTGTAGCCGGGGTCGTAGCCGTAGTTGTCCTGGCCCGAGAGGATGTCGTGGTCGAAGGCATAGTTGTCGTGGCCGGCCAGGTCGCCCGACTCCGCGACCATGTACTTAGCTGCGCGCCCGCTCACGTGGTCCTCTGGAAGGGCGGCTCGCGTTAGTTGGAAAGGACGCTCAAGATTTTTGTTGGTTTTGAAAAAATAATATTAAGAGACATCAGGCGAAAATCAGCTTTATCATTAAATGCCTTACCCATTTCCTTGATAAACTTGTATTCAAAAAATGTTTAGCAGGGAACATAACTCATCTCGACGCAATAATTGCAATTACAGTAACAAGGCCAACAATAATAACCACCACGAAACCACTGCGATGCCGCGACACCGCCGGCCGCCCACTCACCTGAGGACTTGTGCCCGAAGGCGTGGTTGTTGTGGTTGAGGTCATGCGGGCGCGTTGAGTGGGGGGCGTCGGTCACCAACATCTCGTGGGCGGGGGCGGCGTGGTCACTCTCCAGGTCGAGCGAGGTGAGGAGGGCGGGGTCTACCAGCTGTGGGTGTGCCGGGTCGACATGGCCGCTACGCCCACTCACGGTCGTGGGCGGCGCGTGGGCGTGGTTTGTCACCCCTCCATACACTTCCACGACACGTTCACCTGAGGAAAGAAAACGCAGTGTAAGGCACGTTTCAGGCGAGAGAGGAAATAAAGTTGATTTATAAATCAACTTCCATTTTATATAGAATTGGCCTAATATCAAGAAATCATGTTCATGGAAAGGAGAAAATATGAAACAGTAGTAGAAATACATTTATTTTAATGCACCAATTCACAAAAGACAGACAGACAGACAGATACACACACACACACACACACACACACACACACACACACACACACACACACACACACACACACACAAAACACTGCATATATACATATATATATTACATACATTGTATAATGCCAACAAAGACAATAACACAAAGCACAGCAAGTATGGTTATATCAGCGCCGTGTTTGAATTCCGAGCGCCCCCCCCCCCCCCCCAACACACAACATCAACATTACCCCCGCTGCTGTTTCGTCTTCTGCAGCAAATACAGAACGTCATAGTGCCTCCTTGTTTTCGTTAAAAATGTAACCAGCAGACCACCTGAGTCCGAAAGGTTTCTTATTTTTTTTTTTTAGACTTTTCTCTTATTAGTTTTTCTTTTATCTCTTCGCTGTTTGAATCCCTTTGATTGTTTTTTCACCAAAATTAGGGACGGTCGTGTCGGTATTTTCAAGTGACGAAGCCAACGGCACTGGAATCGCACACGTCCTTCCTCCACGATTAATTCACTTTCACATTCATATGTTAATTGTCTTCCCCGCGCCAGCCATTGCTCCGGGTCATGCCCGTTGCTCTGCCGTCACTGAGAGCGAAAGCTGATAAGGCCTCTCGCTGCTACCGTGGCTCCTGCTGGCGTGCGATGCGCCCCGTTCGCAAGATTCGCCGGCGATACCAAGAGTACAAGTCGCTGTTACACATTTCTTGATCACTGTCTAAATTCCTTGGTGACTTGATCTATACGAGGCACTTTTTAAGTCTCTCAGAACCAAGCATGTTCACCACATCGGCTCGGCCGGGGGCACCATACACGCAGGAGGGGAAGAGGCGTCACTGCCGCACGCGGAGGAACAGCGCCGCGGCTCCCGTCAGCAGCCTCCCAACGCCACCACGACTCCTCGACTTGACATAGGTAATGGGGAACTGAAACGCTCCCGCCAAGGAACAGAGATACACTGTCGAGCAAAACAAGGCTCTACTGAGGCAATAATTGGCTGTTATCTTCGAAACGCTTATCGCGTTCTTAACACTCGCTTCATTCAGAGAAGAATACCCTTCCAAGCGAATGTGTTGCGAGTACTAATCAGTTCATAGTAGTGTCCGAAACATGCAAATATGGATATTGAAAAAAAACGATTTCTGTGGGAAACGAGGCGGGAAAATAAGCGATGATGCCAGAACCGAAGGCCACACAAGTGAACTGGATTCCGCGCCTGAGATTACACCTAATCTGCCTTATCGCGCTTATATCTCGCCAGAACCAGCCCACGAAATGCCAGTCGCCTCGCACAAAAGGCAGACACAACTGCGCCCCCGCCACCTTCCCGCGTCCACCCACGCCCACACCTAAGTCTCCCTTAGGTACTAAACAAACACCCGCGAGCTTCGCCCTCTCCGCGGCGCATGACTCACCCGCCGCGCACAGCCGTAGCAGGTGAAGGGCCATCGCGCCCGGGAGGCCGCCCCGCACCGCCGCCTCCCACGGGATCGCGTCCATGGATACCATCTGGGCGCTTCTGTCTGACGGTGGGGTCCTCGGGCTCTCTCGCTGCGAGCTGCTCTTCGCGGGTCACGCAAGGGACTCCTGCTGCACACACTGCACTCAACCCTAGGCTGAAGCTGCCACCACACCGCGGGCGACGAGTCAAGACTGAGGCAGGGCAAGAGCTGTGCCCTCTTCATATCCGACCCGCTGGGAGAGGGGAGATGGCGGGGGGTCCTAGACCGACGTCATTTGTTTCGTGTATCCTGTCGGATAAAACACGAACACTCGAAATAGCTCGCCATCACGGCAGGATGTCCCCGCAGATACCGACTTTTTCCGTACACAGTTCTGAGCGCCAGCCGAAGGACGTCATCGCAGTGGCCTCAAAATTCCATCGCCTCCCCTGCCCTGGCTGCGCCTCCTCTTCCTTCTCCATTTCCTGACTCGTCTCATTTTTTTCTCTTTTCTCCTCCTCCTATGCCTCCTTATGCTTCCTCTCCCCCTCCTCCTCTGTTTCCTATTTTCTTCTTTTCTTCTGTCTTCTCCCTTCTCCTCCCTTTCCTCCACCTCCGCCTATCCCTCCTCCTCCCTTTCCTCCTCCTCCTCCCTTTCCTCCACCTCCTCCCTTTCCTCCACCTCCGCCTATCCCTCCTCCCTTCCCTCCACCTCCTCCTATCCCTCCTCCTCCGCTGTGACGTCACAACGACGCCGCGTCCCTCTTTCACACAGTCCGTCTCCCAGGCCTCTTTACGTAAGCTCGCCAGTCGGATGTACTTACGAGATGCATAGGAAGGAAATTCTGAAATGCGCGGAATACCGGTACCATTTTCCCCCAATTATGGTTATAATCATCGCCACGTAAAACTTTCTTTGTCTGTTTTTTTTTTCTTTTATGCTTTGCGATCATCCAGTTTCTCTCTCTCTCTCTCTCTCTCTCTCTCTCTCTCTCTCTCTCTCTCTCTCTCTCTCTCTCTCTTCTTCAAAACATCATAATTTCATATCGTTTCGAAAATATTAATTTCCGATAATAATATCAATTCGAACAAAAACTAAGCTTATTAATCGCCCAATCTTTATTCCGCTTTCCTCCCTAATTTGATTAATAAGAGCAAAACGAAATGAGTGATTTTTTTCCCACTCCATCTTTATCTTTCTCTCCCTTCTCGTTTTTTTTCCCTCTCTTTTATCGTTTCCTTTTCCTCTCGTATCATTCCCTTCCTATTGTTTCTATTTCCTCTCTTTTATCAAGTCTTGCTTTCATCCTCTTTCTCTCCTACCATTTCTTCCCATCATTCCCCCCCCTCTCTCTCTCTCTCACCATTTCATCCTATCTCCTCTCCCTTCATTCTATCTTTCTTACTCTCCTTTCCCCCTTTCTTACTCGTTCTCGAGCGACGGAGAAAGTGAACACGAAACAACCAAACGCAACCGGATTATGTAGTGCAAGTCAGATATCTCGCGGTCGGCATCCTGACTTTCGAGTTATTTTTAGTAAAAGAAGAAGATGATGAAGAAGAAAGATTATTCAGTTGTGCGTGCGTGAGGGTGCGTGTGTTTACCTGTGTGTGTGTTCGTTTGCGTCTGTGTAGTCTGTTTGTCCCGAGGAAGTGTGTGAGAGTGTGAGTGTGAGTGTGAATGTGTCTGTGTGAGAGTGTGAGTGTGAGTGTGTCTGTGTGTGCGTGTGTGTGCGCGCGCGTGCACATGTGTATATGTGTATGTATGTGTATGTAAATATGTATGTGTATATAGTATACACACTATACACACATACATATACATATGTATATGTATATATGTATATAAATATGTATGTGTGTAATATATATATATAAATATATATATAAATATATATATATATATATATATATATATATATATATATATATATATATATATATATATATAAATATGTATGTGTGTAATATATATATATATATATAAATATGTATGTGTGTAATATATATATATATATAAATATGTATGTGTGTAATATATATATATATATATAAATATGTATGTGTGTAATATATATATATATATATATATATATATATATATATATATATATATATATATATATATATATATATACATGTATCATGTATTTGTGTATGTATATATTATGTACCCATCGTATACCTTGGAGGTATCTATCCCTCAAAGCGTCCAGACGCCCACCCGCAGTGGGCTGACCTGCCAAAAGCAATTGCTTAACACAGACTAAATTTCACTCCAACCTCCTCCACCCCCACTCCCTCCCACAGTAAGCCAAAACCCCATAAAAAAATCCAACAAAAAATAAAAATAAAAAACAATCCTCACAATTTCTCTGGTATAACATAGCGACCGCGGGATGGCAACGCAAGACGTTTGTCTAATGGGCGGCCGAAAAACCTGTTCTGGCGGCGTCGGGTAGGCCTATATGCAACCTCCAGAATCCCTCATGCCTCGCGAGGTTACAGAGCGGGTGTCGGTTCCAAGAAGCGTCGTTAAAGCGTGCATTTTAATGAGAAATCGTACGTCACACGTCAACGCAGAGAAGAATTTAGGGAAAAACGAAGGAATTTTTTTTAGCGAAGACAGAGTTTACGTAAATAGCCTTATAAAGAAATGACGAGGAAATGCAGACGTGTAGCTTTGTCTGGAAATGATGACAGCTAAAACATGTAATTTTCCTCCGCGACCTGACAGCTAAATGAACAGCAATTGTGCAAAAGTGAAGTGTCATTTAAGCAAACATTTTCCATTCTCTCTACTCGAATAAAATAATTATTCCGTGAACTTTTCTGCCTCGACTAAAAAGAAATCCGAGTAAATACCTTTTTTTTTTCTTTTCTTAGCAATTATAATTTCACAATATGCAAGGTAATTGTCGTCTTATTCAATAATCTCATGCTGAAAGAGCTATATCACGTTTGTCTTGGTATTACCACATATATCATGTTTTTTATGTACTAATGGTGCACTGGTATAAATTTCTTAGTATGTGAAGAATATCATATATCACATATATATGTTAATTATGGTGATTATGTTACCTTTAAAAAAATACGTACAAACTATTTCTTTTTTTTTTTTAACTTAAGCGTATTCTACATTCGCTCTTATATACTGGAACAATAAAATAAACACATAATTCAAAAATACAATAACATAAAAAAACATGAAACAAAGGTCACTCCTCCTCGACCTTCATAAAAAAGAAAAAAAAAAAAAAAAAAAAAAAGAGCGGCCGGGCCTGAAGTGAGTCCTGTGGGCGTCCGTGTCCCGGCCATTCATGTTTGTGTAGCGCGTGGAACGGCGTCCCTTCTCCAGGCTGATAAAGCGTCCGTCTCTCTCGGGATCTCTTTTTGGGCGAGCGAAGAATGGCATACGGCGTTTTTTTTTTATAACTTGATTTGGGTTAAAACTGATTTTGCTTAAGGTATAATGGATCCTCCCCCCCTCGAATGTACACGTGTCAGTCTGTCATGAGGTGAAACAAACGAAGATCAAGACACGCAAAAAACTCGCAAAAAACGCGAGCGATTGCAATAAATCCATCGCATCGCCCGGGCCAATCAGAGCCAGACGATTCTCGCGGGAACAGCCAAAACAAACAACAAAAGAGTCATCACCTCCGGAGCCCCACAAGAGAGCTGGCAAACAAAGACAGCAAAAACACAAGGGACTCGCGTGCCAAAGCCGGGTGCCAAACCAATCAACAAATGTACACCCAAATATCCCGGGGTTTCCCGCGCTTCACTAGAATGGGTTCGAGTTCGGGGGTAAACGGAGGGGGAGGGGGGAGAAGGAGAAGGGGGAGGGGGAGGGGGAGAAGGAGGAGGGAGAAGGAGAAGGAGGGGGGAGAAGGAGAAGGAGGGGGGAGGAGGAGGAGGAGGGGGGAGAAGGAGAAGGAGGGGGGAGAGGGGAGAAGGAGGAGGGAGAGGGGGGAGGAGGAGGCAATGGTCCGAGAAGAGGATGCGAAGGGATCAAAGGATGTTTCCCAGGGAGCCTACGCCTCTGCCAACTCTCCTTGAGCTCCTTCCAACACGACGGCCCGGCCTACGCCAGCCCGCCTATCTCGGCATTTACCGCCTGCATGGCTCCGCCCCTCGCTCGTAGGCTTCTCCTTGGTTTCTTTCTCGCCTTGAATGCGGCGTGTACTGTATGAACCCCGCCTCCGCCCCCGCCTATGCCCCCCCCCCCTCGTACACCAACGTGGCGCCAAGCCTCCGCGCGTTCGTGGGCGGCCTAGATGACTGCAGTAGGCCCAAGGCGGAGAAGCCTAGAGGAGGAAACGTCACTACAAAGCGGAAGCCACGAGACGCGGTGAAGCAGCGGGGCAGGGAACAGAGGAAGGGAGGGAGAGGGGGAAGAAAGAAGGAGGGGAGAGATGGGAGCAAAAGGAGGGAAGGGAATGGGAGATAAGGGAGGAGGGAGACAGGGTGGGAGAAGAGAACAGAGGAGATAAGAATTCAGGAGGAAGCG